GATAGCTGACAGCGATTTCATCTTATTAGTTTTCAGACCTTACCTCCGCACACAATCATCGATTCATCTATTCAAACATAAACTTGGGGGCAACAGACTACGGTTTCATTCGTTCGAAAATAGCATATTCCTATTTAAATTCAAAAGGTGCACAAAATAATGTACCAAAAATATGCGTTTTGCCAAGCTCAGAGCAATTATTTTGCTATCAACAGGTTGAAGTGTGGCACCCGCTTTATTTTGCCGAAGGGGACGGGTATTACTGAACTCACCATCAGATTGTTAGACCGTTCGAAACAATCTTTTTCCGATATGACATCAAATAAAACATGTTTGGTTCATGACATTCACCGCTCATGTAGAACAATGAGTGATCTTGTTCCGTCTAATATTGTTTGCAATCTTTCCTGAGTTGAAATTTGAAGCATCATCCAGCTGTTTGCTACCAGATGGTCAGTGTCTCGTTTGGCACATGTAGGTTGCATACGAATTTGATTTCGGTGCAACATTGAGCTAATATTCATGACATTTAAAACGGGCAAAATCTCTTTACCCTTTCAGGGTAATGAATCGTGTATATTTTTATTCATTTTTACTTTCATTTTTCACATAAAATAATTTTTAATCAAAGGTGTTCCTTGATTCAGGTTTGCCTTTTTTGACAGGCTCTTAGAAGATCTCAATCGGACGGCACCTTTGACTGAAATCATTTTATTGTTTAACCTAATGATTTGTGAAACAGCTATCCTATTATTGGTCGAGACATTGCGTCTTTGTCAAAGGACACAGTTGTATGCTCAGATTACAAAAGTGGCCAGGAGAGTATTTGAAGTAAGATAAATCATAACAGATTGAAAATAATTCCTTCCAAAACAATAACAATGAACAATTTCCTAATTTAATGCTGAGTTTATCGAAAACTTCAAATTACTCTAGAGATCAATTGCCAAATTATTACCCGTCTCTCCTAACTACAAGACAGTTCCATCTGACTGGGGAAACGAGAATCTGAAACGGAGTTGTGTGAACCGTAACTGGGATGGCCAAATGTTGATACATGCAACCGACAGGATATAAATAGATTGTGCAATGCGATATCGACTGAAATTCAGGCGATCACTAAACCCATTGATCAGTTCATTTTCATAAGAAATTCGGGCATGTCAAGGAAGTGGATATTGACCGAACCATCCTCCTCTATTTTTAACATATAGTTGTAAACCAAACAACTAGGGAGGAGCATAAATCATTGACGACACACTCTTAATTGCAATACAGAACACCACAGTCCTGCTTGCATGTTGTGCGATCAAGGGCTATTGACGAATGCACATGCATACACCCGCTCACATGAAATGGTTTATGCGCACCTGAACATAAATTACATGATAAATCGAGTTACTTATTGTAATTTCGATCTCAATCAAACAGATCATCTTGATAAACCAGTTTCATTTTCCCGGAATTCATTCCCTAATTCCCTACGTGCAAATCATCAATAACATTGTGAAACCAAATTGAACTGGTACAAAATTACTCTTAAAATTGCAGATCATTTCGAATTATACCTTTCACGCATTCTAATGATTTTCGCGAAACACTTTCCAGAAATAATACCCACAGGTGAAAACCATCAAAACCCGTGGGCTGAGGGTGGGGAGAACGAACGAGGAAAACACACTGACCTGTCTGAACATTTCCATATTCACAGGCGTTTCGGCTACCTGACCTCCTTCCCGTCCGAGAAGAAGATGTCCAGTCTGAAGGGAGTGTAGGAGGGAAATTAAAAGTTGACCGTTTTAGAATCCGTTTGGAATAGACATGATTATGCGGTTCATTTTGACGCGTGTACCTCTAACCAGGAGTATAAAAATGAGATGTATGCTTAATTCTGTTTTCATCTGATGGAAACCTTTTTCCGACTTATTTGAAAAAAGATGTTTTGATGTTATTGGCCGAATGCAGACAAACCGACGTATAATTGGGCCCACAATTGCGGTTGGTGATTCGGCTGACACTATAGAATTGCGATGCCACGGATTGCCAGGCCAGAGCACAGAAGAATGAAGCTAATATGATGGGCAGCCAGAAGTAACCGCTTCCAGATCATGTCTGATGTATTTTCAAACGACTAAGGTTCCTTGAGTTCTTCGTCATCCGCTAAAAACGAATCAATCGCTTTTCCTCGAAAGACATAAGTGATGAATCACTCATTGCCTCAAGTTCTATCTGGAATTTCCAAATTTGAACGTAGTGGACACAACACACTACAAGCGAGCACGATTTAATTCTGAAATCATTCTGTTACATCTCAGCTGGTGCTTGCAGCAGAATACAAAATCAATAAGCACTGGATGAGATGCAGCGAATTGATTACGGAATTAAATCGTGCTCGCTTGCAGTTTGCTGTGTTCTTTGTTGAAGTTTATTTCGGGAAATAATTGATTCAATTAAACCTCATGATTCAACAGGCTTTTCAGACCCTTCAGACGATGTTTAAAAATATGACGGCGAGTCTCTAACGACAATTTAATCATCACCCGATATTTATCCCCAAAACGCAAATCCATAATGGAAAAAAATTATCTTCCATAACCAATCAAAGTTTAAGAGTGTCTCGCACCCATTTCGCATCCCATGGTAGCAAGTGTTACAGTTTTCCCACTCGAAACAAAATTGCCACTTCGGTTGGAAGACACATTGTGATCACGGAGACAGCTTTTGTGTATGTGTATTTTGTTTGAGTGGACGATGGCAACTGGTACCATGGTGATCTTCGTCGACTATTCGCGGCAAATTTTCGAAACAGTTGATAAGATTGTATATTTTCCCGGACGTACAAATTCCGCTTCTTTTGCTCTAAACACGATTAGGCGTTTTCGCTCCTTCTTCATAGTTCAACTGTTGGACAACACCATGCAACTTCACAGGTGCCCGTCAGATTAAAATCTGTTATGGTGGTTTCTGTCTGGATTAGTGAATCCCTTTGTATTCGTACTTCCTAATCCAACCGGAAAGTAATAATCTTTAACCTGACCGCGTTGCTATGAGATAGTTTGTTTCATGAAAAAAACGCGACTTTGACTAGTACATCACGGAGCTGAAACGAAGCAATAAGTGAGATTGGGAGCTCATCGTCAAATCTCTGGTTCCTGCTTTCCATGCAATACGAAATGCTCTCAGAATATGTCATTCATTTTATAAAGCAACTGTACTGGCACATACAAGACCAGCAACTTCGTTGTTCTTAAGGCATTTAATCCGCTTGAAATTATGAAGTCATCACTAATAGAAATCCTGTTTGAATCCTTGGATATGTACACGAATATGTACGAATATGTATATAACCGTGCAGGATTGCTGTCCGAATATGTCTGCAACGCTATTGCACCTGACCCGACTCATCCTTCGGTCACGGGCCAGAGAATCGATCAATAAATTTGTGACTAAACCTGAATAGGATGATCGCAGACTCACTGTTGCGAAACGTGGGGTGCAGATGGTGGATTTTTGCTTAAAGAGCATTCTTCTTAAGCTAAATGGCAACCCTCTGAAAAGGAGATTAATTAATTATACGCTGGTCGCTGTCGTATGAAAAACAATTTCTTCACCTTATCAGTTGAACTTGGATTGGCAACACTCGGATTTTCCAAGGCTTTAAATAGCATTTTAAATGAAAAAGGTCCAATCTATACATGATGAGACATTGGTTGAAATCCTACTTCGAAGAATCTCTGTGAACCAATGCGTTCAATGAGTTCACAAGATGGGGGGATCATATGATAAAAGTGAATTACCTATTCGTTTGCTATCATTAGAGTTTTACAGTATGGTGGCAAAAATAAAACACTTGGAGAAACTAAAGAAAATGAGTTAGAATTAGAACTTCCCTAAAATTACATCAAATTAAAACCCAGTACTTTATTTTAAATTTATTTACGGGAGAAAATTAATTCGAAAGGACATGTGACGGAGAAAAAAAACTATTTCTGAAAGAAAATAAATTTTTATCAATCAAAATTTTTGAATCACTAAAATTTTAATTGTCAATAACACCTCAGTCTATAAACATGCGCACAAAATTCATTCAAAAGAACAATCTTACTCATGCATTCACGTTACAGATTAGTTGCATTGCGGATAGAGAACAACGAATAAATGTTACCTGTTTCATTGAAACTGTTCCATAAGCCATTCGTGTGATATTGGGCAGCAACGGTTGAAGCGGTTGTTTTCGGAACTGATTTCAATGGAGAAACGTAAAAATAAACCATGAACCGGAGACAAGCAGTGCAAATACAGACAAACATTTATTGATGTAAATTGGTGATGATTTTGAACCTGCGTGATTGTTAATCGAGTTAAGAGGCTAATTTTATGGGTTTGTCGTTTGAGGAGGTAAGCATTCCCGGGGGGGGGAGGTTCAATTTGGAAATAAGAAACTCATAAGTCCTCGTTTCCACGCTCTGTGACATTCAGGCACTGTCTTTAGAACACAATGACCATGTGGACAAAAGTTTGAAAATCTGATCATTAGATCATTCTCGTGACGATTCCACTAGACACTTCTAATGAAATGAACTATGTGTTCAACGTTCGGTTATGGCGGAAAAATCGACCCACATTTGAAATCAATCTGTATACCTTGCATGACCAGGCAGAAGTCTGAACCAAGCAACATATGTGCTTCGCATTGAAAAAAAAACACGAATGAGGTTATTGACCCATAAAGAAATAGTACCATAAAAAAATGTTATCTTCCTGAGTAGAAAACATCTGTTCACTGCTTTTGTCAAAATAGCCCCACAGAGCACATTTCAAACAAAACAATAGAATAGCGAACAAACTCGTTTGCAGAGATTCCCTGTTTATACCAATACATCTCAATATATATCACTACTTGGGACAAAAACTATCTTTTGGGAAAATGAAATAAAGTCACAGATTACGAGAAACAATTTCATCATGAGATCGCAAATTGGATTCTCCACGATTTATTTGTCCACTCATCCGATCATCGGGATCACTCGTGATACGGTGTGTATATGTCGGGTGGACCATGGAAGCTTTGGTGTTTGCACAAATTGGTTTTTTGGGCACACAGAGTGGTGTGAATGTGTGCGGACGAATGTTCACTGCCTCTGCTGTGGCCATCATTCGATAGCAGACTTCTTACCAACATAGTTTGAGGGAAGATTCATTGCAGTATCGCACACTTTCATCAAACGAATACTGTCGTAATGCTGATTTCAAGATCTATAGAAAAATGTTTAACCTCGAGTTCGCTTTTGACAGAACGGAGAAACGTTTGTATGATCGACTAAATAAATAGATTTTTTGTTTGGTCCGTCGTAGGATAAAAACAGTGGAAACAGACTTGGAGCAGTCGAGAGCGAACATCATGAAAATGGCCCGATGAACTTATTCCTGCTCAAAATACTTCATCAGGCTGAAACAACCTCCCAAAGCCGAGGCAAAATTAGGTGCGGTTGTCCTGGATTTCTACTATTCCCCTTTTCTGGCATTTGACGGTATGGTCTCATGTGACGAATCCTCTCAAAAAGGCTCTGTTGAAAAATTCCTGTTTATTGTCTCGCAAGTGTTTTTATCAGTATGCGAGCACTAAAGTTCAACATCCTTCACCTTGGGCATTTAATTCCACATCAATCGGGAAGAGGCGTACGAACAACTTCGACGCATCATCCTCTCTCTGGAAGTGATCCCTTCATTACGCACTAAGGTTTACGGAGCACCTAGTGGTTCTGTCTCGTAATGGTGACCTATTTAACTGAGAGCTGAGATTAATTTGGAAGTGCATTGTGTTCAGTCATGGTTCTTCATTTCCCGTTCTGAAACGCTTTGAGAGACTGACTTGATTCGAATTAGGGTTACCTGAGAAATCCGTTTGTCATTAGTTTTGTCTATTACACTGTCATGCTATTGTTAGAGATTGACTGATTTAATATGTTGCACTCGGATTCAGGTAATTCATTTCGCACCACAAAGACTTGGTACATGTCGAGGGTGATTACGGGCCTTGTTCTGTCACTCTTATCAAAATTGTAGATTCTAATCAAAGAACATGGTAAACCGGTAAACTGGCAGAACATACTGATGACATATCTTCATGGAAGATCCGATGTTAAAAGCAGCTCCCAAACATGCAGTATTCGGAACTAGTACATATCTGATAGTAAGTGATATAAAAAGCCATTAGATAACCATCTGACGCATTTGTTGTAACTGAAAACCACATTGATCCGGATAGACAACTCACTGCAAAAATAGCCTCACGTATCAACTGATATTTCCATGTCAAATCTCCGGCTTCGGAAATCGGAGCATCATAATCGTAGCTAGTAATGGATGGGACCTCTCTCAAGGTCCCGGCGGAATACCCGAAATTGGTCCCTCCATGGAACATATAGCTAGAGTAGAAAAAATCGAAGCACGGAATGACAGAAGGTAGAAGAGCATTGAGTAAAAGGACAATAAAGGAAAAACGATCCAGCTCAACTACATACAGACCTTCATTCCATATGTTCTATAACTAAACTTATTCTTCACAGCTCTTTCACACCGTCATTACTGACGCTTACTATTGTTCTAATTTAATAAGCGATTATCATAGCAATGTAGTCCACTCTTACCAGCACAAAAGAAACGAAAGGTGACTTATTAACAACCTTGCTTTCGATTACAGCTGCACACTCAAACCGATACTCTCTCGGTCAGCTGTTTCGCATCTTTCGAAAGAAACTGTGAATACAAGATGACATATGCGCAACTTCATTTTGTACCTTCTCGCTTAATAATAACTTCAAGCTGATCGGTGTCAGCTGGCTTTCTATTCCAACGATCTTCTTTGTTAGCTCGGTGAGTTCCTTTAAAGTTACTCCGTTATCGGGTTCCGTTGAAATGACTGTTGTGACCAGAGTTTTGCAGCCGAAAATCTCAATGTGGTCGTAGATAGTGGCTGGTCAGCCTTCTCTTGCACCTCACGAAATGCTCCTATACGGCCAAAAGTCTCAAATAACGTCTGCCTAGAAATCCCTACTCACTGCCTTCTCGTGGGGCAGGTGTCTTTCCGCCAGAGTGAGAGTATGAAAAGCTAACATGCGGGACAATAACCAGGTCGGTGAATCATTGGCAATTCAGCTAGGTGAGTTGCTAAAAACCCAGATTCTAAACCAACCAAAAACAAGCTTACGAACCACACACACACACACACCCTGTGTGTGGCAGTGATCACCGACTCGTTTGGACTTCGAGGTTTTTTGGGCACCTGGGATGTATGACTCCGTCCAAATGGCGTATGATCCGATGAACTGGAGGCTGACCACTAATAGATTGCTATTTTCACACTCCATCCCACTGCCTTTCGGGTCAGACTTTGGCTAGTCAAAGGCACTGGTTGTGTATTCCCCGAGAAAATTCAACTGAATGGGCCTGGGCAACCCCCATTAGTATTCCAAAAACGAACCATGGAAGCCTCTCGGTTTCCTAAAGATTACTGTAACTTGATTCGTTTTGCACACAGTCTGCATTCAGGCCCGCTTAAATTACAACCTGAGAGTTTGACCATTGTCTGCATAATGTTTACCGGCCAGTGATGCACACATTGGATGATACCAGGATCTGATTTTGATAGTTGTAAAATATTCTCACTCTCCTAGCCGCTTTTTCCGATAATGCAAATGAGTCCAAACTAAAAACACTGTCCATCCTATAAACCATTTATTTCATGATCATACACAACATACTGATAGAAAACTGAGTTCAAACTTTAATGAACCACAACATAATTTAATCCCAAACGCCGATCCGGACTTACATATTGACACTGACACTGGGGGAGTAAGTGACCAAGCGAATCAAACTGTCTCGACTTAGCCGTGGGTCCCGTGTCGAATGTCTACGACCCCATTCGTCGAACCAGCCAAGGTAAAGTTCACTGTTAACCTGTCGGTTGGGGGGAGTAGTGAATTGGGTGGAATAAAGTAATGAGTGAATAGAGTTGAATAAAGAGAATTAGTTTATCCATCAAGGATACAGAACCTAGTTCTCCTAGAAGCCATTCATATGAGTCATATGAAAAAACAATGGAACAGACAAGAGAAAACTGATGAAACTTAGAACCATGCTGATTGCAGCATAATGTTGTTTGGAAATGACAAGGATGAATGGGGAACTGTTACAAACAAGTGGGTTATTAGTGCCAGTACCACCTTGGCTCACGATTTGTTCACTTTTTTATTACACAATGTTGTGTGTCTGATAAGAACAAATTTGACAGCGAGCCTCAAGAGAAGGATAAAACGACACAGACAGAGAAAAAAATCGTGAGTAGCCTCAAATCCTTAAAGGACCAAGGGTATATAGACCAATCAGTGTTCGACTCAATAAAGCCGTCCGGGTCAACCATTCCGCGCCTTTACGGGTTACCCAAGGTTTACAAGACTGGCCTACCATTAAGACCGATTCTATCGATGGTCAACTCACCGTACCACCCGACTGCCAAGTGGCTCGTAGGAATTCTCGAACCGGTGCGCACAAAGCTCGAAAAATACAGCTTACACGACATTTGAGTTTGTGAATATTATCAGTCGGCGGAACGTAAAGAATGACCAAATGTT